TATAGCCAAGCATCTCTAGGATCACTGATGCTGAAGCGTATATCAGCTCATTGGTTTCCGTGATCGTTACGGTCGGGATCGCCCTCAGTGCTGCATTCACACTTTCCATGAGACTTTCAGGTGGTACTTCACATAGCCGTTGTAATCGGTTTCTAGGTTGCCCAGCTTTCATTCTCGCCATGATCTTAGCTTTCAGGTCAGTTGCTGCCTCGCTCAGCATTTCATTCATTGGGGCTGGCCTCCCAATCTCATCATCTGCATTCATTGGGGCTTGCCTCCCAATCTCTGGTATGACCTCCTCCTCTGATCTGGCAGCCTGGGGCCCTTCACCGTGGACCCTGCGTTGTACCTCATCAATCTCAAGTTGTGACAGCAGTTGCCGTTTGTGGATGTTGGAACACTGAGCTACTAGTTGTTTCGTGGTCAACCGTGACTGTGGGTTTCGAAGTAACCATTTAGCCCACATTCTCTGCATGTAACCCCTCTGACTAGGGTTGCTTGAGTAGTTGCATTCCAACAGAGCCATGTTATCGCATCTCGCCCATCTCCGCTTTGTTCCAGTAGCCCATTTTTCATCAAGGTGCTCTGGTTCCCCAGCACCTGACGCAGACCTTGTTTGGCCGGGCGACGCCTGAGCCGGCATGTCATTCGTTTTATGGTCTCTTATCATTGTATGAGGTAGGCATTAGCGTGAAGGATCTTGCCCAGGGACCCACACTGGATGGTGTTATGTGCTGAGCTATCCAGCCGTGCTATATATATATATATTTTTTTTGAAGGTTAATTCAACAAAATGTCAGTATCATAAGCCTCTGAATGTATTCTTTTCAATAATTTTGTTGTTATAGTCACCATTAATGTGAATGGTTTTCCGTTCCTCACGATTGCTCAAGATCCAACAAAGGGAGCGAAATTAGAGTCAGCTTGCCAGATCCATACACAGAATTGCTGCTGGCTAGCTTGCACCCTGCTCAGTAGCTTGCACGCTTCCTTTCTGCTGTCTCCAACAAGGTATCTTGATGCAAACGTAGCATGGCGCGTGTCAAAGTGCCGCTTTATGTTCGACCATTTCATCTATGGTATTTTGTCATTGCAAATTAGACACCGCAGAACCTGTTCTCTCCACAAAGACGAATCCTTGTGTCCATTCGTCCTGAAGTGTACCATACTAGTCATCTTTTTTTCTTTTCGCCATCTTATTCGCCAAAGGATTAGCTTTGACTTTGACTGATTCAAAAGGGGGCGTTTACCTGTTTACCCATCAATGGCCAACGTTGGCCAGTATCATCCAATTAAAATTGCTCCTGCCGCCCTGAATAGGACATGAACAGTGAAAAACCGATGGATGGATTAAACAAGCAAGAATAATTTGTTTTATCCGTGAGCCAGATGCAATCGTCAAAAGAGCCACACCTGGTTCGCGAGCCATAGGTTCCCAACCTCTGCTCTGGAGGAATCGGAGTTCCCTACCCTTGCCTTAACACAGGGCAATTGATAAAAACATTGGCAACAGGTGTGCAGTGAAGGGAGGGCCTTCGATTGCCACCTGCTGGAGACACACAAGAACAGGATCATGACAGGAACACATAGAAGCTCAAAGTTTTATCGGACGGAAACAAAAAAAGAAAAATTAAAATAAGCCACAAACGACTGAAAGCTGCACAGCCAATGCATGCACAATTAAATTAAGACCGAATACTGCAGGAAATAAATTATTACCATTTCATATGAGGGAAAAGTTAAGAATGTACGAATCTCCGTGTTTTGATGTTAGGTGTTGTGTTTATTATTTTATGTTCTTAAATACATGCAAATGAGGTTCATACCAAAGAATCACACTGTTAGCATTTTTTCTGTTCCCAGGTGTCTAAATAAAATGACAACATGCATCATGCAATACATACCAAGACTCAAGAATTAGTTAACAGAAGATCCTTGTTTGAAAGACCTGTGTTACTTTTTTCCATCAGTGTGATCAGCTCCGAACCGTAGTTTGTGGCGAACTGCGAACTTGGTCCAGTGACTTCAAACAGATGACAAAAAATGGGACGTAGTCTTGCTCATTCAAACTGGGGCTTTATTTTTCCTTCTGAGCAGCAGTTTTCAGTAACACTTCAAGAACTCATTGCGTCAGAACCTTTTGTTCTCTTATGGACTTTTCCCACCACTGGCATATTCACATCGGTTGGAGGTTACACATCAACAAATAGATGTCTCAGCCGATGCCGGCAATACATGTTTGTGGAGATTTACCTGGCTACCCTTGTTCATGTAAAGTGAGTCGCTGGTCATCTACCCATCTCCACTTCTTGGTGTGTCAACGTAATGACTTTACAACCAGGACGACAGGAGGCGTAGTTCGGGGGTGGACACCTGTGCTCAATCCTCAAGTCTGTTGTACTTTCTAAGAAAAAAAAAGCACCCGAGCTGAAGAAAAACAAAAAATAAAAAACGATTTAATTTTCATGGATCCTTGCATGTAGCATATACAGCGGCCACATCACCAAAAACGTCAAAATGTATAGCTTTTGGATAACCCATCTCTACAAATGATCCCCACCTACAACTTATCACAATTCCTTGAGAAAACAGACAAAAAGAAATCAATCATCACTCAAATGAAATAATTTACCAAGGCACAGCCATGGACAAGTTCACGGCTTTTGATTTCAGAGTTCAGTGTGATGAGCTGATTGGTGGAGTGGATCCTGGCTTGGCTGGATGAAGACACCTTCCATCACCTGCCACCAGTTATGCTGGTTTGGTGAGGTCATGCCATGTACTTCCCATTGGCCACGGATGGGAGGGCCATACTGCTCACCCGTCACACTCAGGAAAACATTGGTACCGACATGCTTGAATCGCACGGCGTCATTGCGCTCCCAGTGGACACCATCACACTGCACTGTCCAAACATCCAGGTCATCACCCTCGCCATTCTCTCCGAATGCACTGACCTCCTGCAAAGAAAGCAGTTACAAGAATTATCCAGCACAAAATGCAAATTCTTATCAGTTCGCTACTTCACCACATTATAATGCCATTCGTATCATATTTGCTACATGCATATTTATTAACTAACTCATTCTTTATATTACAATTAAATCGTCTGCATCAAATTTGATACTGCAGGTTTAAAATATGATTTTCTCCAAATTGTCATTTCACACGTAATCTACATAATGCTTACTAAAATGTGATACAAAAAAAAAATCTCATAAACAACATTATATAGCAAAAATATTTAGTGGATATGGTTATAAGGGTTAATAAACATCTCAGTTCCCAAAAATCTGAATTTTCTGGCTATTCTTTGATGGGTCAGGTCTTACAGAAAATGTCACGCTCTGAATATGCATGACTTTGTGAGTTTTTGTGGCGAAAAAGTAATAAGATGCTCTTTACATCGGACGCGACGATGACATTGTTTCTACAATGAATGAAGGTGTACAATACTGCAGCATGGGGAGTTGAATTTGAATTAGATTACGAGATATTTTAAATACTGTATTATTTTTCCACTGGTGATATATATATATATATATATATATTCAGTCATTCATTCATCTTCCGAACCGCTTGATCCTCACTAGGGTCTACACAGGGAGGCCGGAGCTGGAATTGAACCCGGTACCTCTGTACTGTGAAGTCGACGTGCTAACCACTGGACTAACGGGCCGCCCTATATCTATATATATATATCTATCTATCTATCTCTATATATATATATATATATAGAGAGAGAGAGAGAGAGAGAGAGAGAGAGAGAGAGAGAGAGAGAGAGAGAGAGAGAGAGAGAGAGAGAGAGAGAGAGAGAGAGAGAGAGAGAGAGAGAGAGAGAGAGAGAGAGAGAGAGAGAGAGAGAGAGACACACACACACACACACACACACACAACAGGGTTGTTCGGTGGTCGATTCGTAGGCCCATTGGCCTCACGTTGAGTTTGATTCCGCTCCGGCCTTCCTGTGTGGAGTTTGCATGTTCTCCCCGTGCCTGTGTCGGTCTCTGGATACTCCAGTTTCCTCCCACATTCCAAAAACATGCGTGGCAGTTTGATGGAACATTCCAACTTTTGTCCCTCGGTGTGAGTGTGAGCGCGGATGGTTATTCGTCTATGTGTGCCCTGTGATTGGTTGGCCACCAGTTCAGGGTGTCCCCCTGCCTACTGCCCGAAGTCAGCTGGGATAAACTACAGCATGCCCGCGACCCTTGTGAGGGTAAACAGATCAAAAACTGGATGGATGGATGGATATTTATCTCACAGAGCACTGCTACTGACTTTGTGCACATATAACAAACCTGATTATTAGATAAGGGGGAGCTGAAGTGGTGTGTGTGAAGGTTTCGGCCAGTCTTCATGTGCGTGAAGCGTATAGGCTGACCACACTTAATTGCTGTCCCACGCTGACACGGATGGTTGGCCTTTCCTCGTATCTGCCAATAACTGTTGCCATCATCTGCGTTCTCGACTCCAGTGACAGACTGCTGTCCGCTTCCTAACATGTATACACGCACGCACACGCACACGCACACGCACACACACACACACACACACACACACACACACACACACACACACACAACTGTAGTGACCATGGTGCAACACAAACTTCTACCAGAACTATGAAGCTACAGCATGTACTTGGGTCAGGCCAATCTCGAGTCCCACAAAGATTGTCAATTTAAAATTAAATGCCTAAACCATAAATATTTAGACAAACGCATTGGATTCAAAAGTATATCAATCATACTCCTCTTGTCAAGCAACCATTGCACTTCTGGGAGAAACGAAATGATCCCAGGATTGTAGGCAGGAAGTTTCGTTCAAACCTGATATTAAATTTAAAAAAAATAGATGGGTTAACATCTGATTAAAAAAAAAGAATCCAAATAATCCACCATTGTACAACCAGTGTTATTTCGAGACTATCTCAGGATTCCACCCATGAAGTTTCATAAAGAGCCACAGTTGAACTTCAAAATCAAAGTTATTTGAAATCTGCTCATTTCATTGTTGTTACATTTAATTTCAATAACAAAATTGAAACATAATATAAATAATCCCTTATCTTTATTCACACAACCAGTCCATGTCTGGCAGACACTACATACACTACCCCAGTTTTGCACCTATGAGGTTTCATGAAGATGTGATGTTGCATTTCAAAATAACGGCCCTCTAAAATGTGCTTAATTGATTCTTTTTAAACTTCATGAAAAAAAAAAAAATCACAAAAAATAATACCTTTCTTATCACACAGTCTTTCAATCCCTTAGATAAACTTATCTACTGCAGGACACCACAGGGGAAGTTTCATTCAGATCTCATCTTACATTTCAAAATGAAAACACTTTAAAATTGTTGTACTTCGAACTGGTATCATTCCATCAACGTGCAGATAGTCAAGTCATTTCCATTGTATAGCTTCAAATTGTAATATCACCATTCACCACTAGATGGTAGCCATGGCTTAGTTGTGATTGCAACGGGTTTTATATTTCCCTATACTACTGTACATTATGAGTAAGCCTAAATTTTTTGGAGGCAGATTTAGAGGTTTGGAACGACATTCAGGACCTCTTTTACCTTGTACCACAATAATATAATTTTGAGTGAATTCATTTTTGTGAGAAAAAAATGAAACACAAAATGAGTTCTGACACTTAAATGTTTTGCTGTTCAGCAGTTTTGTGGCGACCCTGAACTGTAATTGTTAATAAAGAGCCCTTTGCATTGGACGTTAAGAAAAAAAAAATCCACAGTATGTGGCCACTTTTGATTGCTTAAACCCCTTTCTATTATGCACGCATTGAGAAATTGATACCCTGCCTACTGCCCGAAGACAGCTGGGATAACACTCCAGCAACCTTCGTGAGGATAGGCAGATTGGGAAATGGATGCATTATGAATGTTGAAATATATCAAGAACACATATTTGCATATATTTTACACATATTTTTTAAATGGCATTTTTCTTATACATTTAGTTAGGAAGTGCATGGTCCTATGTGGAGGCCCACCCATCCCCTTACCCGCATTCTAAGCATCGATGTTTAAGCTGTGTGTGTATATGCATGCACGCATATATATATATATATCAGAGATGAAAGTGGACTTTCCTGAAAATTCCGTGTGTGTGTGTGTGTGTGTGTGTGTGTGTGTGTGTGTGTGTGGGTG